AAAAGGTTCCTGTCACAAGAAAGACACCCAACCAATACTAGAGAATATTGAATCAAAGCCAGCGATATTGAGTCTGATAGATTCGTGTTGTATCTTCAGCCTTGAGATAACAATTTAATACACCAAATGTGATCTCTTTCTATTTACGAAGTAATTTAGTTAGCTTATCTCCGTTATTGTGACATAATCTCACTTTTATGGAGTGATTTGGGGTTAATGAAAATAACTTATTTTCATAAGTAGCTTAAATAGAGATATTCAAAAAAGCTCAACTTTTACGACTTTGCAATATGTTATAGCCTTAGTACTTGGCGAAGCGGCAGTGCTGAAGATTGCGTAAACGAAACGGTACCGCAAGCATAAGCGAAAGCGCAAGGATAGACATTTTTTGATTTCCTTTACATGCTGCGTTTTCATGCGCTTGCGTGTAATGCTACGTAAATATATTTAGTTTTCACTAAATATTTCTCTTTCTGTAATTGTGCGTGTTTGTAATGTTTCTCTTGCGTTTGCGTTTACGTTTGCGTCATAGTGAACACAAGAATGTTTTTACTTGTTTATAATTACCACTTAAACTTATAKCGTATGTATTTTTTTTATTGTTTCAGTTAATGGATCTGAAGACGTTCAAATACTGTCCAATGGTCTAGCCTTGTTTTCGTCTGTAAGTAGTAATACTTAAAGTTTGTTTTCGTAAGTAGGTATTTGACTCGTATTTGCATCTATCTACTTAACGTGGTCCAATTTTATTTACAAATCATTCAGCGGGTGGTTCAAAGTATCCGGAGCTACGACAACCCATGGGCTTGCTTACTGGCTTAGTKTTACTTGWACGAGGTTGAGACATTGTTTGTTTCCTTGCMTGTCARTTTGTTTGAAAACATTTRTTTGGTCGGGGACGAGTCTGATATGAAGAATTATTCATTCAGGCTTTGTATGRTATGAAGAATTATTGGTTGAGGCTGAGTATGATATGAAGAAKTATTGCTTGAGACTAAGGATGATAAGACGAGATTTTGTTTGAGAATGAGTATGATATGAAAGAATTATTKGTTRAAGATGAGTATGATATGAAGAATTATTGGTTGAAGCTGTGCTTGATATGAAGAATATTAAGAATTTGATTTCTTGAGACTAAGAATGATAAAAATAGATTTTGTTTGAGGCTGATTATGATGTCAGGAATAATTGGCTGAGGCTGATATGAAGAATTATTGGTTAAAGATGAGTATGATGTGAAGGAATATTGATTGAGGATAATATGATATGAAGAATTATTGGTTGAAGATTAGTATGATATGAAAAATTGTTGGTTGAAGATGAGTATGCTATGAAGAATTATTGGCTGAAATTGACTGTTACGATAAGAAAAGGTATTAGTTGAGTGTAAGTATAATTTCGGACCAATTATGCCCTGTAGGCGGAGACGATGATCAGCGTCCAACGTTATCGTAATTTTTAAGATCATATGATAACAGAATCTAATGATGTATTCCTTATTTACGTACAAATTATATGTTTAAATAAAACGTCTCGTCAACATGTCGGCGAAAAAAATTAAAAMATTGTAGGATACCATCATCAAAGCATGTAAAGCGAGTTACATTGTAGGACTGCCCGTCTGCCTGCCCACTAGAAAACGGCCAACGAACGAGTCTGTTTTTCTCGTTAACATTCATTTCAGGTTTTATCTCCAGAGGAGCATTTCATKTAAAATTGAGGTCACTACCACACGCTATGGACACATGGGTCGAAAAAACATACTTTGAAACCCACTTTGGATATAATTTTATGGAATTTGTTAGCTCAGTCAACAATGACTTTTGCTGAGAATTTCAAACTCAAAAAGTTTCCAATCG